CAAAAATCCTAGTTTGTGGTGGAGTACAAAATGTTGCATGCAGCTGAATTAGAAGAAATTGACTCATTTAAATATCTAGGGTCAAACATTGTAAAAGATAAGAGGATCAGTACAAGAGATGAAAACTCGTTTAGGCCTAGCATCCGCTGGCATGAACAAACTGTGGAAAATCTAGAAGAGTAACATCCCAGTAAAATTAAACCCAGCACCACCATAACAAAAGTGAAAGGACTTTTCTAATTTTTTTTTTTAAATCCCAAGGTCAATGAACTTAAAAAAATTTTTTGTTCAAAGAGAAATAAACATTACAAACAAAAGCCTACGCCCTCAAGGTCATAGGGTCTACTTCAACTGACAACTGAGTTGATTGACAGATTGTGATTGATGACCCGACCCCCGCCCAGGTCATCCCAGTTAAGCTGGTTTGATTATGTCATTTGAACATGTACTAATGATTTCTTTGATTTGTTTAAAACTTGATGTATTGCTTAATGATTAATGCGCTGAACACACACACACACACACACATGCACACTTCTATACGCACGCTGACACACGTCGTAAGACCCACAGAGCAGTGAGATTCATAACAAACGAATATTCACATTTGACTATAGTAACACATATAGTAAAATCACTAAATTTAGAAAGCCTTCAGGACAAAAGACATAAAAGTAAAGTAGCAATTATACATAAAACACTGAACCGTAATCTTTAAATACAAAAACAAAATTTAATAAAATACTCTGAAAGACACAAAGATAAAGGCACATTTCTCATCCCATATGCTAGGACAAATTTGTACAAATACTCCTTCTTCCCTAGTGCTATTAGAGCATGGAATGGGTTGTCTGAATCAGCCAGGAAAATCAGTGACTTGGCAAAATTTTAGTCATTGGTTAATATGCATGACTGAATGCATGACGCGTAGGACGTAATCATCTTCTTTTTTGAAGAAACGTCTGTATTATATAAGATAAGTAGTTTGCTCTATAAAAAACCACTTTTAAAACGCAAACTATAAATATAAACAAAATTAGTATCGTGAACGAATTTTTACATATTCTTACCTATCCCTTAGTCTGTTGGACCGTTGGGGCACCAGGCAAGATTTGTCGACCGTCTTTCTCCATTCCTCCCTTTTTTTTTTGCCTTGTTTAGAACGATAGATATACACAAAAAATGAAGACTCGTACTAACATTTTTTTTTAGATTATATCTCTACTAAGTTAGGTTTTGCTAAAGAATCCTTATGCATACTAGACATTGTATTGACTATATTTTTTAATCTCCTTCTCAGCTGGTAGCTATTGGAAGCTTTGGCCCATGCTTCATCACAAACACAAACTTGACCTACCAGGATGTAATTGATGAGCTCGATGCCAGAAACGTAAGACACACTTTAAACAAATGTTATTATTATTATTAAAATTATTATTATTATTATATACTGTAAAAATGGACAACTATGTATTGAGATACTTGAAAATATAAAAACGTCCACAGAGCTTCCCTTAGCTTTGGGTTAAAGAAATATAAAAACTTAACGTTATCTGATCCATATGCTGTTCACTTAAATATATGAGACAGTTCAAACTAACAATGTAATGTATTTTTTAGCATTACTTATTGTCGCCCCTACCCCCAATCCTAATACCCCACTAGCATCTCCACACACACCCAACAAAATAGAAATAGAAAAAAATTACCAAGAAACTAATGCGCATGCGTGAAAGTCAAAACTGAAAGCTGTATTTAGCGAGTTAAGCAGGGAGCTCTTCTGTCAGTTCGGCTTCGACGCTGTATTTGTAATGATGGAGTCGTACGCTCTAAGATCCACCTCATTTACGTCAGTCCAAGTCACGTGAGAAGGGTTGGAATACATCCAAATACTACCACGGTTGATATTTAATATCTACACTCATTTTTACAAATCTTTTATTAGCTCAGTCCGTCTGTCTGTCAAGGTGGATTTTTTTTCTCGTACTTCACAATCTCGCAATTATTCATAATACAATCCATGAATAATTTGTTGAAAAGTAACCAATTAGTGAATCAGTTATTGGTAATTAGTTAATTTTCTGTTATATAGGAAAGGGGGAGATAAATCTTGCAGTATTGCGATATGGCAGTGATTGTGCGATGCTTTTCATTTTCTTTTTTTTTTTTTTTAAACAAAAAAAGCATTTGCTGTATTTTCCTTGTTTTCTTTCATATATTCAAGCTGCATTTAACGTGATATCTTCTCGGATGTCGAATAGACTCAATGTTTCGTAAATTTTTTTTTACATAATCTATATATACACTTCTATTCGTGGCCCAACCATGCGGGACACCAAGATGAAAAAGTCATGGAAAGATAACTCTTTTTTTTCTGCAAGTCTCACTAGAGTTACCCCACCTACATTTCGCGGTGAGAGAGAGAGAGGCTCAGAAAAAAAAAGAGGGGGGGGCGTATGCTACGCCGCGGGTCGGCTTATTACTATTAAAGCATATAAACTTGATAGAAGAAACAAGGATGGCTGTCTGGTTTTGTGACAAACGCTCCAGGATGTCGTCCCAATAGTTGACATTTAATATGCAAGCTTCCACCCCCCCCCCCCCCCCCAGAGGGTTTGAACCAGGACGTTATAGTTTTCCTTTTCAATGAAACATCCGAAACTAGTAAAACAAAACACTCGGCCACTTATTATAAAGATTGGTGATTTTTTTGTATTTTGTTCCGCTGTACTTTTGTGATCCATAAGATTCATTTTATTTTCAGGGCTCGTCTGCTTCCACCACAGCAGAGTTCCGACTTGACGGCACCTCACTCCCCCTCCCACTTGAGCAGGTGCGACCACTCTATGACAACTACCCATCCCTGAGACGTGCTTGCAGAGACGGCAGAGTTATCATGACCACGCCAGACGTTGGTAAAACTTAGAAATTCTACATCGCACAATTAAGTCTGTTATAGTAGACATGTTTTATACACATTTATATACAGTAAAAAGTCTATAGGCATTATGAATTTAAATAATGGAAGCCTGGTCGAGAGGCTAAGTAGGCTTGAGCTTGAGCTTGGCTTGGGCTACCTATGCGAAAATGACACTAGTTTCTAAATGTCGCCAAACTGTTCTTTAATTGTCTCTTGAGTTAACTAACAGGGCAGAACTAACAGGGATTACAAAAGTAAAAATTATTTAACTACGTCAATATTGTGTATTGATTCATTTGTCACTTTCACTCTGGTGTGCACCACTAGAGAAACTTTCACCAGCTATCTCCATTCATTTCTGTTACCTGCTTAGCTTAGCTACTCGTAGGATGTTAGACCCGTCTGTAATGACATAATGATCTTTTATCTCAACTTCTTATTGTAACTACTTAAATGAATTCCGCTGACGCTTACTGTCACCTCATTCACTGACGTCTCCTCTTCACTGACGTCTCCTCTTCACTGACGTCTCCTCTTCACTGACGTCTCCTCTTCACTGACGTCTCCTCTTCACTGACGTCTCCTCTTCACTGACGTCTCCTCTTCATTGACGTCTCCTCTTCACTGACGTCTCCTCTTCACCGACGCCTCCTCTTCACCGACGTCTCCTCTTCACCGACGTCTCCTCTTCACCGACGCCTCCTCTTCACTGACGCCTTCTCTTTACTGACCTCTCCTCATCATGGACGCCTCCTCGTTACTAACGCTTCATCTTCAATGATGCTTCATCATCACTGACGCCTCCTTTCCTCGCGACTGACACCATTCCCACGCAAAACACTCATTTTTACCACTGTGCACCCACATATTACTCTGCATTCCCCCCCGTAACCAAGAGTTTTTAAAAACTCCTTGATGTCACTGTCAAAGTGTTGTAAACTCATTCCACCTCACTGATAAGTATACAGAAGCCCAATTCATCAAGCGCTGGTTGTGGGTGTATGTCATTTTGTTTAGCATATTTTGCAATTGCCTCTATATTGTAATGCTTAGGTATACAATCCTAATCAAACTGAATTTCCATTTTTTTCCACCAAGAAAATAATCTTACCTTATTTTACAGATAATTACTTATAACTTGCGTAGAATAAGTAAATGAAGTTTGAACTTTGTGTTTCCAGGTAACGCTGTTCCCTTTGAGACTGAAGACTTGACCATCTTGGTGGTGGACGGAACTGTGGCCATCAGAATTCCAAAGCGTATCCCACGTGCCCCCCGCCCTATCGGAGGCTTCACCAACCCAAGCCAAAATAGATTCGGACCTCGTGTCCAAGGACGCAGACCAGGGCAAGATCTATTCACCACCGGCACCCAGACACCTTCCCAGGAAACATCTACAACGTCAACAACCACCACAACCACCGCCAACGCCAACCCACCTCCCAGCGTTTAAAATGAGAACCCATTTACGACATTTTTTAAAGACATTTCTTTACTTCGAAATCGCTGAGCATGTCGCAAAGTAAACATCATTATTCAAAGTTCTGGGTAACTTCTAACGTACAATGCATTAATCATACAAAGTTGAAAGATATTTATATATTTTAATAAAATGTAAAGCTTATTTCTCGTTATAGAAATTCTCTGGTATAATAACACTAGTAATAACATAGCGCAAAGCCTTATCTTGGCAATATATTTCAACCTACAGACTGAAAAAAAAAAGTCAATATCCACTTCATGTATATTTGTATAGTTCTATGTAATGTCCTGTTGAAAGCTATGACGAATAAAACTATAACTTGAGAATCCCTATAATGCTTTTATGCGTATATCAATACGTTGTGTGTGTTGATTATGTCGAGACCATCGAACACTGAATCACTAAAGAAAACGATACGAGTGTGTAACAAAGGGAGGTTAACATGGACTAGTCGGTCCTGCGCAAATTTGGATCTTTTCCCACAAGAAAGTTGTTAAATTATTTTGTTGATTCCTTTGTAAATGTCTATATTATATTGTTTAATTTGATCAATGTTAAATGTTTTGTTTTCTTATTTTGTTCATGCGCTTTGTCTTTTTATTAAAGCTGTTTCTCACTTTATCAAACGTCTGGCAGCCACTTTTGTTTAAAGCAATACATGTATCTTACTTACTTGGACTTACCTCTCCCGCGCCATTCGGCGCATTGGGCGGCAAGCAAGTTTGCCGTTTCTGTAGCATTAGTGGTTTAGCAGGGTGGGGTCGCTAGCCCCACGCCAAACCCTCCTCCTTTCTCACCCGGGCTTGGGACCGGCATGTATCACCAATTTTAATCCAGTTTTAAATTTGTATTGTTTTTTTTGCAATAAACTTAGAGGAGTATAAGCCAACTACTATTTAAAATGATTTATCAAAAGGAGAAACGTACTTTAATCTGAGGTCTATCTAATTACTGGCTAGACTTGGTAAAAAGCTCCAAAGAAACAAGGGTATATGAGAACATTTGTTTTATAAAAATAATGGTTTTAATAACATTAATTTACACACAATGTTTTACGATCATGCTTAAAGGGTAGTGGCGTCACTAAGGTTGGTATCACCCGGTGCGGTTAGCTCAGGGTCACTCCCCCCCCCCTTTCAATCAACGTTCGTCTCCAAATTTTCCAATAAAAACTAGCGATAGTTTTTATTAATTATATTTAGTTGAGCCCTAATAAAGTCAGACAATTAAAAACATTTATTGTAACAATTCTGTAAAATGCGTGTTGGTCTTATTTGAAAATCATATTGTTTATACCATTTTATCAATAGTGAAAACTTGCATTACGCTGTAGGATTATTATATTTAGTAAAATGTAAAACATACACTGAGAATGCTTTCTATATTAAGCTTGAAAGGCTGATAGTCTTTATGGGAAAGGCTTAACATTCGACTGGTGTTTATCAATCTTTTAATATATCAAATATTTACTTTCATCGCACCCCCTTACTCAGCTAGGGTGTCTGATGGAGCGCTGCTAGCTTCCCCCAGGCGGGATCATGGACGAAGCCCTGGCGCCAAGCGTTTTCTTGCGTTTCTGTGCTCCAGAATTTAAGTTATTCTAATTATAGCATTGAAGGAGTGGGACAAATAGAAACTGAAGCCTGAGAAATACTCGAGGGACTAGCCTATAGCATGTAAGTTTGTAACCCCTGCTGTCAGAAAAACGTCTTGTAGCGGGCCTGTTCTGTTGTACGCCCAATGAGACGTCTTGTTGCGGGCCTGTTCTATTGTACGCCCAATGAGACGTCCTGTAGCGGACCTGTTCTGTTGTAAGCCCAAAGATGTTAGTATAACGACGTACTTTAATCGAGAGAAAGTGTTGGTTCTGACGAATTGCTATTGAAATGTTGTCTTAAAAGAATCCACTCAATGCTGATGCAGTCCGAACTGCGATAGGCAGGAAACGTCTGCAGAATGGAAGACCGCCGCATCCGTAAATGACTCCTGTATGGCCAAATAAGGGAAGGAAAGCGCGCTCAATGCGGACAAAGAAAACGCGTCAGGGATACCCTCAAAAATTATCTGAAGGCTTTCAGCATAGACCCAGCAACCTGGGAGACAGAAGCACATGACAGAGCATTATGGCGTCGCGCTATTAAAAACTGGCGCACAAGTTGCTGAGGAAAAGAGAACTGCACTGGCAGAAGAAAAGCGCCCGAGAAGAAAAGCAAGGCCAATGACACTAGCTTCAACTGGAATAACCTGTCCAGTGTGCAGCCAAACATTCCAGGCTCACATAGGTCTCACCAGCCACATGAGGAGGCACAAAACCCCAGTACAAAGCCCTCGGTCCACTGGATGACAAAAGTGGTCATCATCGAACCACGATGGACGAACTAATTATAAGATTAACTTTTTGACTCGGTCTTGTTACTGAGGTCTTTCGTATATATAAAAGAGTGGGGATACTGTCGTGTTTACTTCATTAGTATTACAATTTGTAATAACTACGTTCAGAATCTAAATGGAAGACATTTTTGTTTGTCTTATAAAAAAAACGTCTTCTCGCTCCGCTGTCAGCGCGTAACGTTTAGACTTTATGCTAAAAAGATGAAATGTATCTGTATGCTTGGATGAGTATCTAGCTATTGAAACGGATGCATGTGTCTCAATTGTTTGTAAAGTATTTCTAAATACCTTGCTAATTCTAGCGTGCGCACCTTGTAAGGTGTATTGCAGATGCGTGTCCTAACATGAATATCACGTTACTTGGATTGAAAGATAAATAGGATAAAAGGCTCAATGACTAAGTTCACTCCAGATGAAAATATAACAATCTTTAATACAGAATGGGCCACTGTCGAGTCAGTCACTACAACGATGTTATCCCCTTGAGAGCCTAGCACTAACTGATCTCAAAGTCTACACTAATTTCTAACCCCAAGGTCTATGTCGTCACTATAAAATGTGCGTACACTGTCTGTCCATTTTAGTGCGTAATTAAACTGAGTGTCCAACACTATACACTCCTTTTTAGCGGCCCCCTGAAAGGGGAAAAGACGCTATTAGTTTTATGTGGCCTGTCCGTCCGTCCATCCCGTTTAGATCTCAGAAACTAGAAGAGAAAATGAAAATCTGATGCAACGGCTTTTTTTTTTCCCGAAAGTGGACCATCTAATTTTAAAAATTATCTATGCAAGCACATTTTTCATAAAAATACACCACTTTTACATCTATTCACTATTAATAGTAACAAACACGGGCGGCTGTTTAATAGGGGAGATGAAGATGGACCATATTTTTAACACATTTATGCAAACGGTTTTTGATTTTTTTGTCAAAATTTTTTTTTTGTTTTTTTGTTTACTATTTCTTTTAAAGAGAAAAAAATCTATTTAGTATGCATATAAGTTGGACAGAATTTAAAACAACAATCAATAAGTAGTTTTTCATATTATCGCCCGAACTGCAGCCTTACCATATAGCAAGGATACCACACAAGATCTGTCAACCCTTTTTCTCCATTTTTCTCTGTCATTTGTCTTTGGTAGAATTTCATTCTGTTTTTTTTTTTTTAAATATTAAAACCTTTCTTTTTACCTGCCTGTTTTCAACCTCTGCGAGCCGCACTCCCCTCCCCCCCATCACACACACACACTGCTGAAAAGGCCAAGGGTAAGGGAGGAAGGTACTTAGAAACGAACGTTAAATGTGTATTGGACTGAGAAAAAGGTTTGGGTACTATTTATGGTAAAATAAGGGAAGTAATTATTTTAAAATATGAAATAGATAAATCATCTTCAATCTTCTCCCCTTACAGTCTACACATGAATTTACGAATGGTAAAGTTGCATACTGATATAGTGTTATTGATGTAAAAGTTAGCGTCAAAATGACAACTTGTATCTGTGTGGTAAATAGTGGCTAGAATACTGTAAGGAGACGAAAGCTGAGCTGGTTTTGGTCATAGTGTAAGACATGACTCACTGCCAAAAGCCACAAGGAATAAGAGTACTTGAAAGTCGAAAGTCTGGCTGGTTAACATACATCAAAGAATGGACCAGCCTTGATATCCTACTAAAAACAAGCTGCTGGTCGGGACAAAAGAAGGGATTTAGTTACGCAAACTGTCTCAGCATCCCTCCTCCGAAAGTCAAGGGACAGATGAGAGAATTGTGAATGTGTTTTCAGAGTCGAGATTGTTATGCCACGAAGCTTCTGAACCTCAAGGGTTCATTTATTCTGAACCGCAAGGGCTCATTTATTCTGAACCGCAAGGGTTCATTTATTCTGAACAGCAAGGGCTCATTTATTCTGAACAGCAAGGGCTCATTTATTCTGAACCGCAAGGGCTCATTTATTCTGAACCGCAAGGGCTCATTTATTCTGAACCGCAAGGGTTCATTTATTCTGAACCTCAAGGGCTCATTTATTCTGAACCGCATTTATTCTGAACCGCAAGGGCTAATTTATTCTGAACCGCAAGGGCTCATTTATTCTGAACTGCAAGGGCTCATTTTTTTCTGAACAACAAGGGCTAATTTATTCTGAACCTCAAGGGCTCATTATTCTGAACCGCATTTATTCTGAACCGTAAGGGCTCATTTATTCTGAACCGCAAGGGCTCATTTATTCTGAACCGCAAGGGTTCATTTATTCTGAACCGCAGGGCTCATTTTTTTCTGAACAACAAGGGCTAATTTATTCTGAACCTCAAGGGCTCATTATTCTGAACCGCATTTATTCTGAACCGCAAGGGCTCATTTATTCTGAACCGCAAGGGCTCATTTATTCTGAACCGCATTTATTCTGAACCGCATTTATTCTGAACCGCAAGGGCTCATTTATTCTGAACCGCAAGGGCTCTTATTCTGAACCGCATTTATTCTGAACCGCAAGGGCTAATTTATTCTGAACCGCAAGGGCTCATTTGTTCTGAACTGCAAGGGCTCATTTTTTTCTGAACAACAAGGGCTAATTTATTCTGAACCTCAAGGGCTCATTATTCTGAACCGCAAGGGCTCATTTATTCTGAACCGCAAGGGCTCATTTATTCTGAACCGCAAGGGCTCATTTATTCTGAACCGCAAGGGTTCATTTATTCTGAACCTCAAGGGCTCATTTATTCTGAACCGCATTTATTCTGAACCGCAAGGGCTCATTTATTCTGAACCGCAAGGGTTCATTTATTCTGAATCGCAAGGGTTCATCTTCTTATAACGTTCTAGGGTACTTTGAAGGATTATTATTACATACCAGCCGTGCATGTTAATTAGAGTTGTAAACTCTTACCAAAGTATTGGTTTTCTTGGCTGATTCACGAAAGCCCTTCTATGCTTTTGGCACAAGTAAAGAAAAAAAAAACGCTCTTTGGTTATTATAAGTGCAGTAATAATAATGACACACGTGACTTAATACAAAAACCAATAAGAGAAAAGGATAAAAGATTTACACTTCACTTAGTTTCTTTTTGTGATAAGAGATATTTTAAACGTCTACATCTCGGAAGTCAAATGAGTCTTTGCTCATCGTTTTTCAATCCATCCATCCATCGCAGTGGCACTTAAGCCCATGGACGGCCCTGGCCTGCTCTAGCACATCTTTCCATTCTGATATACCCTGGACTTAACGTTTCCATGCCCGGACTTTTAGCTCTTGTAGATCTGCCACGACGTCATCAAGCCACAGTACTCGTGGTCTGGCTTCGGAGCGCATGTCTTTTGGTTTTTACCGGTGAACAATCTTTGCAAACCCGTTCTAACCCGACATGCTTACGAGTTGACCTGCCCAACGTAATCTGTTTCTTTGTTATCATTTATCGTTTTCTAATGCTATTTTTAAATGGTTATCGAGAAATGCAGTGTTCGTAGCGTGTGGAAGTTGTGCTGGTTTGATGTTTATCTTCTGCGATGGTATTCCTAATTTATTCGATTTCTAGCTCCAATTAGGTACCTGCCATTAGTTGAGAAATTGTAAAGGCGATTGGTCGTTGTGCTGGCTTATGACACCCTCGTTAACTTTGGACCATAGGAACAGATGAGCTTTAAATTTTCTGCCATATAGATAGCAAGTTCTGAAATAGAAACATTGCTGATGTTATAGATAACATGATTTTTAAATATATTTTATTAAAAGTTTTGTATTGCTTAAGGTTTCTGTCTGGTGAAATTGCAATTTGCGCTTTAGATTGAATGCTTTATCGTCTAGTACTCATGTGATTCTTGCTTGAAAAAATTGAATGATGATGCCAAAGAAGAAATTTACTCCACGAGCCACT